AGTCATCCAACCTGTTTGTTTTCTGGAGCGATTGGAGCTAAGCTTGCCAGTACCTTAAACAGGTCTAACTTTGCAAAGTTATTTTCAACTAGAGTGCAAACCAAAAAAACTCGACCTGAAGCGTCATAGCCCGTGCCACTGGATCATTCGAGTGCGAAACTGATAAAACTCTCTTGAATATCTCACTACCAGAGAAAACTAGCGACAAGTGGGTTCCACATTCTAACAGAGCTCGCGCAATTGCCAATCGTAGCATATTTGTTCTACAGAAATCTATGTAGAAGTTAAGAAATTGCTTTAAAAAATGCAACTTACCCATCTTTAAAAGCATCTGCAAGTCGGACTACAATTGTGTTCACATACATGGGGAACGGGTGTGCTCTGACGAGACTTGCAGTGGATACTACTGTAGACAGCTGCTCTCCTAGCGATGGTGAACGTAATCCTTTAATCAGAAGCTAGTTAATCGAAACCTCTAATAGACTGAATGAGAAAAATCTATTTTTGGATTAAAGGTCAGAAAAAAGAAAAAGCAGACCTTTCTCAAAGGACTGCAGCTGTATTGTCGATACTGAAGCCGGTTGTCCTAGCTCAGCTGCCATTTTCAAAAAAATTAGTTGCCTAGAGTCTGTGCGAAAAAAATCTAATTGAACTAGTTGCAAGTATGTTTGAAAGATAAGAAGTCCAAAGAGAATTAGCGAATAACCGCTTCAAATCATTTCAACCTAGATAACAAAAAAAAAAGCTTTGCTTTATGTCAAACGGGAAACTTGCAGAAAGAAATAAGACCGAAAAAAATTAGAATATTTATCACATAGGTTTTTAGACCTCGTTTAACGACTTGAGCAAAAAGAGCTAGACATTCGGAAAGTGAAGAACTCAGCGAACAATGAAAGAAGTCTACACTTAAACAAAATCAAGCCTTTGCGTTGTTTAGCATGATAAGTGGGAATTTTTGTTGAGATTGAGAAAGAAAAATCGAAGTGCAGAATAAAGTATTCAAAACCTGTCAATTCATAACAAGATTTCGACAAGAATCTCCAGTATTCCAGAAAGAATATCCATATAAATTGAATTTCCTCTATTTTCTGGATCATGTTGTACTAGTTCGGACCACCTTAATTATTGCCAAATCAATAAAGCTGGAAGTTTTCAAAAATACAAATGATAAACCTTCAGGAGGATTTGTTAAACAAAAGCGAATAACAATAATCTGAACTCACTGATGTATTACTTCGGGCCCATGCTCAAAATTTCCATCCGGAACAACCATAATCAGTAGACGGTAAGCTGACTCATTTTTGGAAGGATGGCCGTAAATCTTAACTAGCAAGATCTCAAATCATAACATTATTCGGAATAATATTTCAAAAAATTGTGAACAGAAAACAAAATGCGTAACCAACCCCTAAATATGAAGGTCGCGGATTGGATTCTACATCGATGTAGTCTAGCCCACAAGTCGCTGAGGATGCATCATGCCTATCAAGTTCATAGGAAACCCCTTGATTGGTATAGGAGAAGTACAGATCCGCATCTCCTAAAAAGGCAGGCAATAGGCGTTTCATTTGGATTATAAGATATCATTATTGAATTAAAATAATAAAGGCGAGGAATGCTTGTGAAATGGAGGAGTC